GGCTTTCAGCCACCGAGATTCTGGTCTTGTTATTAAAGGACATTCTAATTAAGCTTGTCTTGGCTTTCGTTACTGGATGGAACAATTGCGTTATTGCTCCTGACGCCTAGTAGCTCTTCAATGGCGTGCATCCAGGAACAACTCATTGCTGGCGTCCGGCTCACTCTCCTTTGTCTCCTCCCCACTGGTCCAAGGCTCAGGCGCCACCTGGTGGCCAACCAGTCTCTCTGCGCCCTGCTCAGAGTTGGAACCCTGTCCAGGGTCCTCAACATCCTCCAGAGCCGACTCATAGGGTCCCTCGCTGTCGGAGTCTGATGGCAGCTCCAACAGCTCCTGCTGGGCCACAACATCTATCCATCTATCCAATCACATTATTTACAGTTTGTTCCAGTCTTGTCACCTTGTCTTATACCCATGATGGCGAACCTATGGCACACATGCCACAGGTGGCACACAGAGCCATTTGGCAGGGGACGCAAGGCGTTGCCCTGTTAGCTGGCCAGCGTGCATGCACATGCTGGACAGCTGACTTTGGCCTTCTTTTGAGACCGTTGTTCACCCTCCAGAGGCCTCCTTGAAGCCTCCGGAGTGCGAAAAACCAGCCCTATGGGCAAACCGGAAGTTCAGGAACAGACTTCCGGTTTGCTTGTAGGGCTGGTTTTTGCCCTCCGGAGCCTTCAGGTAAGCCTCCTGAAGGTCCCTGAAGGCTCTGGAGGGCGAAAAACGGACCTACAGACAAACCAGAAGTCAAAATTTCCAAACTTCTGGGTTCCCTGTAGTTCGGTTTTTTGCCCTTGGGAACTTTCAGGGGCCTTCAGGAGGCTTCCCTTTTTCCAATACTGTGCATCGGTTATTCGTGCCACAGTTAATACATGTATAATTAGATAGAGCACATCTTTCTTATACCCCTCCGGTATTATGTCTAGGAGAAAAGCTGGGAAATTTTTATTTACTTAATTTTCCGGCCAGCCAAACATATCACAATCAATTCAATCCCATTCAAGAAATACTGCAGTGTTATAAGGATCTTGAGAATTTACCATTCTCAAAAGAGCCAGAAAATTCTGAAAGAACTAAGAATAAAGAAGAAAAGGTTTATTGTTTTTTCCCACCCGGGGTTTAGCAGGCAATAAAAAAGGTAAAGCCTGTCTAAATGGGAAGACTCTGATAATTTGACTTGAACAATTTGATGTCATTACTGTTAAAAATTCTTAGATGTTGCATCTATAAAAATAGTGTGTAGAATTGAATGGGATTGAATTGATTGTGATATGTTTGGCTGGCCGGCAAATTAAGTATATAAAAATTTCCCAGCTTGGGCTTAAAGCTGTGTGAAACAGGCAGTGATGAGGGCCCAAAATCACATTTTTGATTAAGATCACTTCCTGAATTTTCCCACTGCTTGAAGAATGAGGTGCCGATTGAACAAGGAAAGAGAAAGTGGAGATTTTGTCTCCACAGGCTGGAAATGTTTTATTTTAATATGTGTGTGTGTATGTTTGTGTGTAATCATTTCTAGACCTGAAATAATTGTAATGATTGGTTTGCATGAAAGGGGATTTTTACATGTGAAATTGGTTTACACAAGCAGTTTGTTTGCAGTGCAAATGTTGAAAGTAAAAAAAAAGTTGGTGTGAATGTATTGTGATTCCCTTTCGTTTATTTTGTTGACAGAATGCAGAGTGGAAAAAAAGGAGTGAGATTCCTGTGTGGTCTATGAAAAAAAAATCCTGGTCCTCGGTGGTTGTTAGCTCAAG